ATGAATAGAGGCAAGAGGGGACTCTAATATGAGGGCTAAGATTTTTTTTCATCTTCCTTCTGACGAGTGGCCGAGACTTTATTTTCAGTTTTTTTTTTTTATTCTATAATCATGTTTATTTAATTAAGTTAAATATTAAAGTTTAAAACTAAAAAATAATTAAATAAATAAATAATCTACCGAAATCAGTTTGGGATGAGACTTATAGGATTGGTTATATAGACTACAACCCAACATGACCCCTACGACTCTACTATTGATATTATTATTTACCTGACCAAATCATATTATTAACAAAAATGGACCACATCACAATACAACAAAAATGACATTTTACAACCGACAAAAAATAGCTCCCTAATATTAATAATTAATCCTACATAAATGGAATTAAAAATTGAATTTTTTAAATAAAAAATATATATCTAGAACATGGAAAAAGAAAATATTTTCGAAATCTTAAACGATGTAATTTGGTCCAAACTAGTTGAACATCAAGGCAAACATTGAATTTTGCTTATTGGGCAGTTTGAACTTAAACTATTCTAAAAATGAACATTTCGGGAAAAAATTAATAATAATAATAAAATAAGTCATTTGACGTTTATCTTTTTTCTATTCATGACAATTTTTTAAATATTTGTGACTTGTAGTGATGACATGGTAGACATAGAACTATGCGTGTCAGATTTTTTTTTTTTTTTGTTTTTTTTGTCCTCCTATTTGCTGTTAGTGTAACAATTGGACTAATTTCCCTTTTTGTCTATTTTATGTGAGGTTTCAATCATGAACTTGGTCTTGTTCCTGCCCTTATTTGCACAATTTTAAAGCTTGCTGAGATGCTTTATTTGATGAATATTTCGGGCACATCAGAAGAAAGTATCAGAGTTATTTTTCTCAAACCCACTGGACAGCCCCATCCATTGTGTTCATGTATGAGATCGATGCTATTTCTATTAAATGGGATATCTCGAATATGGTAATGGAGCAACGCATTGTCCTACAACTAATATTATGCATGGATGAGTCATCGAGAATTGTCAAACCCATAAATGGAAGTGGTAATGCAGAGAATTATGATTGCATGACTGGGTATGTACTCGTTATTGGAGCAACGAATAGGCCTGATTCTATTGATCCTGCATTGAGGAGGTGTGGACGGTTTGGCCATGAGATTTACATATGTCCGTCTTTGTTCAAAATCTTAAAATAGAAGGTGCTTTTGATCTTCTGAAGATAGCTTAAGTCCACTGCAGAATTCCTTGGAGTTGACTTGGCAGCACTTAAGGACAAGGCTGGCTATCTAGCAATGAATCGAATAATATGCCAACTAAAGTCCGAGATTTCTACAGAACCTGTAGATGGGGACCCTATTGAAGAATAGTGGAGACAACATTGGTATGTATCTAGTGTAAATGGGTTCTGCAGCTTCGTACCTTCTAGCAAAATCTCCATTGTGCTTTCTTGTAATGTTAATTCTACGTACTTATCATGGGAATGCATTTGTCTATACTCTTGAGCCATTGTTGTTTAGTCTATTTTTCCTTTATTCTTATTGTTTTCAGTTCCTTCATGCTTTCCTTGTGGTTTCTGATTTACTGCGTTCTAAGTGATCTCCACAACCCCATTTTTATCATTCAATTAGCTGCTAATCAGAGCGATTTTGTGAAAAGCTGCTAAAATGGTTCAACCCTCTTCCACAAGAGAAGGATTTTCAACAATTCCAAACGTGAAGGCATCCGGCATCTAGCTCAATTCTCAAGCACAGAGTCTAGCTCCACCGCTCGTGCCCTCACTGAAAAAGGATGGAAGGATATTGGTGGTCTCATTCACTCAGAGATGTGTTTGACTAGGAAATAATTTGACGAATTAAGTATCACGAAGATTATGAGATAATTTTTACCTTTAAATTTTCATTTAGTAATTGATCATTGGTTATGCTAATAGATTTCAAGCTAAGGACTAAACAACTTAGTGCTTGTTTTGGTTTCATTATAATCAGCTTATGATTTAAAGTCAACGTTGAATATTAATTTTAATCACGTTTACAATTACTATCGACTTATTATCCACATATTTCATAGGACCTATTACTCATCCTTCTCATAATAACATTATAATATTTCCCTAACAAGGTATTAATACGACGCGACATTTTTTGCATTTGATATGAATAGGATCTTGCCTGGTTGTTTTTCATGGAGTCGCCTTTTCACAGCTTGCATCACATATTTACATGTTTTAATCAAACTTTAAGGTATGTATTAAAGTCTAATAAAAAAATTTCTTTTAAATCCATGGGCAATGCTTACTTAAAATTTCCTTCACTCTATAAATTTCTAGATTGAATTCATTGCTAAGAAAGAATGGACATATGCTTGGAAATCCTTCACAGTTGATTCCCTTCCCTTTGCATATGCATTAGATTAATGGCACTTTCAACTCAGTTACTTCCATTTTGGGCAGTTACCATATCTTTCTTTCCATATAATTCTTTGCTATGTAGACATTGTTTCAGAGAATTCATCCACTTCTCCTATAATAGTTGGATATGCCAAGTCTAAGGTTTTGAGATTAAGTGGTTAATTTTCAGGAATGAGAGGGTGGCTTTAGAGACAGGATTTTTGCTATATGGTCCTCCAGGCTGTGGAAAAACATTAATTGCCAGAGAAGCAGGAGCGTACACCTTCTTCACACAGCTTGCTAGAAGTTATAGTGCTCTCCTTCCATTTAGGGGTTTTAAAGTTACTTGATAACTCATAACTAATCGGCCTGTACAGAATTTTATGTATACTGGGTATAATTAACAAAAAAGGGTGATTAATAAAATTCTGCAGTGAACTTTGTGGAAACTGGGATTGTCCTGATGTTGTTCAACATCTTATAGGAGGATACTTTGACAACCATAAGCGATCAAGAAGGGAGAGGGGTTGTTGAGCGGCTCTTGTATCAGTTTAGTAAAAATGTCTTGTTAAATGCTTTGTTGCCTGATTATATCCTCCCCTATTGTGTATATGACTAGATATAGAAGTGAAGGCAAAGCCATATCACCGTAGCTACTAATAGAGCTAGATGGCGCAGATCAGCAAAAGGGTGTTTATGTAATTGGTGCCACTAATAGGTACAGATTGTTATTTGTGTCAAGTTTACTGTGGGTAAGACAAGAATAATGATTTTCTGATTAATAGTCTACTATCGTGTAACTTAATATTTTTAATTCTGATAATAAAATATCAGGCTTGAAGTTAAGGACCATACCCTCCTTCGATCAGGAAGATTTGGGAAACCTCTATATGTCCTCCTTTTCAGTCCAGATGAGCGTGGTTTAATCTTGACAACTGTTGGTAGAAGAAGCGAATAGATGCCAATGTGGACTTGATGACAATTGGAAGCGATGGTGCTTGTAAAAATAAACAGTTGCAAGCATGTTGGACGGTTCATACCTGTTTTATGTGAGTAATTAGCATTGATTAAAGCATACATGACAGATGGCAAAAAAATGCATCGATTAAGTTCAAGACATTTTGTGAACATAAATAAGTCATCCTGAAGAAACTAGGACTTGAATGGATGTTTTTTTTGAGTGAGAAAATGGGAGTTTCATTCTATTTCTTCCTTTTTTTTCATGATGTAAATGCTCAGGCCTTGCAATTACAGTCTCAAGCTTTACTATTTTAATTTATGCCGGATGAATGGAGCTACCATAAGGACAAATGGAATTCGAGGAACGAAATTTCAGATGCTGCACCATGAACCATCAAAGAAATGCACTTCAAGCAGGCATTGGAGAAAATATTTACATCTATTTTAGATGCAGTATGAGTTTTTATCAGATTTGATTTTGTTCTTGTAATATACCTCAAGGAAACAACCGTAACTCAAACTGTGTCAATTTTTATGTTTGGTTGTAGTAAATAAGATACCATGAACTCTTGTTAGAAAGCTTCAAAACTGCTTGAGAATGGACCTGATCTTGTTTTGATCTATGTTTGCCTAATTCGAGGGAATTTTTTCCTGCTAGGAACGTGCACAAAAATTGCCTGTTTCTGTACACATTTAGTGAAGAATACAATAAGAAAATTTTGTAGTTCTGAAGAAGTCTTCGAAAGTTTTTGATCTAGGAATTTTAGTGAATTTTCCGTTTTTACATTCTTGTCGATGAAGCTTTAGAAGTAAGTTATATTAAGATTGTACAGTGCATTATGTATGTCGAAAATACTGCTTCAGTCATCAATGGGTTGTTATATTCTTTTAAAAGAAAAAAAAATAAAAAAATAAAAGAATGTTATCAACTAGCAAGGCTTGTATCAACATTTTATATTCCAATGGCGGAGAAAAACTGAAATAGCATATACAAACAGTTGTACTTAATTGGAGTTATGATGCCTTATGTGCGAAAATAATTAAAACACAGCCGAAAAAGTAGACATAACCAACAATAACAATTTGTCCTTTAGAGTTCCATTAGGAATATATAAAACTACCCTGGATCATCTTGTATAGGTTGGCACTTGTGGACGATAGTTTTTGGATTATCTCGCAGTGTTTCTGAATTTGAAATGGAGGCTTCTGCATCTTTGCTAAGCATCTCGCTGGTTTTCACTTTTCAGTCAATGTTCCCCTAACTCATCATTCAAAGACGAAAGTGTTTAAATTCAAAGCTATGGAATTATTATTTTTTAATTGACAAATGAAAACTTCAGTTTCCATTGCAAAGGTTAACCGGTTTTAAGCACATAAATAACAGCGACCCTTGCCAATCAGAATTGCTAAAGAGCCTATTTGTCATTACTTCCGTTTATATTTATTCTCGTAACTGGGGAAGTTTCTGATCATACAAAACACTTCCAGAAAATCATGCAAACATGTTTACAAGCAGATTCTGACTCAGAAAAATAACTTTTTAACTTCTCAGGAATCCAGCCAAATGGGCCAAAAATAACCCAGGACAATCAAGAACCAACTTCACGTAGAAAAGTCGAAACATGCTAATACAAAAATACAAATTAAACCCCAACAATTTACCCGATAAAAGAATGTCTCGTATCAGTTTCAATTATATTCTAGTACAACCATGATATTGTTCTTTCACATCTATATACTCATCAACCAAAATTAAAAATATTAATATTTCTTTAAAAATATAAAAACATTTAACCCTACTGACCACAATATCTAAGGTGGTCTATCCGCAAGAAAAGGCCAAAAAGAAAGTCTTAAAAAAAGGAATGCTATATTGGGAGGATGTTACATCTTTATCTACAAAAGTATATATGGCAGAAAAGAAACATAAGGAAGAATTTTGTACATGTGGCTTATAGGTCAATTCTTAGAAGGTATCTTAGGCCGTGTCCTCATACTGGCTCTCCGAGCCACATCCCATGCCTTTTGGGGTACATAAACGCCTGCTTGAGACGCAAAAAAGGACTCATAGCCAGGTGAATCAAAAGCGAAACCAGTGTGCTTCGATTTCTGTCCCGGGAGTTGCATTATAGCAAAGCTCCGTGCCTCATCTGGGGAAAGGTCATTGTTTCCAATTTCAAGTAATCCTACCCTGCTGTTATCAGGCTCGTGTCTATGAATTTCTTGAACAATCTGATAATCGTAAGGGAAGAACCACCTTTGAACCCTGAAACCAGATTGACAATGCTTTTAGGAATGCATAACCAAACAATTGACAGAAACAGAAGCATCAAGCAATAGATAAAAGGAAGGACTGAATTGTAAACTTGTAAATCGAACAAAATATAATAGTCTATACATCCAGAAAATAGTCAAGTAGATAAATCATAAAGAATAAGGGTTAATTTCATTTTTAGTCACTGAACATGTAACGAAATCGTTTGCATCATCAAACTTTTATTTGCTTCGAAATGATCACTTAACTTTTAAATTTCGCATCCATTAGTAAAAGTAATGGTAAAATGTTAGGTGACCTTTAACAATAACGAAATGCTTATGTGGCATATTAGTTTGAAAAATGAAATATTTATTTTCAACAAAAAATAGTCATGGCCAACATTCCAAAAACCAAAACCAATCATCTTAAAATCTTTTTTTCTACTCACCTCCTCTTTATTCTTTTGTCCCTTCCTACTTCCAACTTGAATTTTTTTAACCTTAAATCTTTTTTCTCTAATACACTTGGAAAAAAGCATTTTGCTTTTTAAAGCCACACTAGCATTTGTTACAGTTAAATGTCACACAATGCTTCCGTTACTTTCTACCAACAGATGTTAAAAGACTGATAGTGCTGCAAAACAAAGTTCGATGACCTAGGTGAGATTTCTCTACAAGTTCAGTGACTATAAAAATGAAATTAACCCTAAAGGTATCTGAATGGCAAACCAACTCAATAGAAACAAGAAACATTCCCCATGTGTCACAAACCTTGTCCACGGAAAGAAAAATGCTCCTAGATACATCTTAAAACTTACCCAAGGTATACAAAGTCACAAAAGAGTGCAGCAACAGGAACAAGAAGAAGAGTGATGTAGAAATACAATGTACTCATCAAGACATAAATGACGAAATAGATATTCTCCTGCAGTAAATGCAAACAGAGAAAAATTAGCATCCAAATGCCAAAAGACGAGGTTTGAGATATTACTCAGATGATTACCTGCTCTTTTGGCAACACAACACCAGAGTAAATGAAAATGAATATGAACCATGCCAATATACTTCCTCCAACACTAATGTGGTGCCATCTAGTAATTGTGTTGCACATCATTAGGAGTCGTAAGTTGACAGTCACGACAACACAAGTGAAAGCCATTGTACTGACATCCCACAGCCCAAACATCTTGCCAGATGAATTCATGCCACTCGTACTTGAAGCAATCACAAAGTAATACAGAACCAGTGATTGATAAATTGCAAAAAAAGCCCAAGTTGCAACAACTCTCCACTTGAAAAACGTATCTCTTATTCCTTCCTTGTACAATTCAGGGTATTTCTTGGAAAGAGATGCATTAACATCCTACATAAGATGCATGACAAAATTGTGATTCCAAAAGCACTGATTTCCAATGGAAACAATCTGTGGTTATGTTCATCAAATATCAAGCAACAGAAATCTGAACATTGAATACCTTGTCAAAAAGTCCAATAATGATTACAGGCAGTGCAGTGAAAATAACATTGAACAGGGACTGAAACCAATCATCATAAAACCTTTGACCACTTATGCCAGTGCAGTTGGATGTTTGATGTATGCAATGGTGTGTACCAGACCAGATTTAGCACATGCAGTCAGTGTGGTTAGTAAGTATATGACTAATCCTGGTAGAGAGCATTGGAGAGCTGTAAAGTGGATTTTCAGGTACTTGAAAGGTACAATGGAGTGTGGGATCATGTTTGAGAGACAACATGGTGATATTTCAGTTCAAGGATATGTAGATGCAGATTATGCAGGGGACTTGGATGACAGAAGGTCCCATACAGGTTATGTTTTCACACTCGCAGGTGGGCCCATATGTTGGAGGTCAATGGTGCAATCACTTGTTACATTATCTACAACTGAAGTAGAGTATCTACAACTGAAGCAGAATACATGGCGGCAACTGAGGCAGCCAAAGAATTATTGTGGTTGAAAGGGCTTGTCAGGGAACTTGGAATCAAGCAAGATGGAATGAAGCTGTACTGTGATAGTCAGAGTGCCATCTTCCTAGCTAAGAATCAGATTTATCATGCAAGAACCAAACATATTGACGTGAGATTTCATAAGATAAGAGAGTTGGTTACTTCAGGAGAGCTGTTGTTAGAGAAGGTGCATACCTCAGAAAATGCAGCAGACATGATGACAAAGCCAATCACAATGGATAAGTTCAAGCATTGCTTGAACTTGATTAACATCTCTAACTGTTAGAGAAGATGTGTCCCAACCCATTGGTCCTAGATGGTGTGATTTTTTTCCAGGTTATGTTTTTTCTCCTAAAGGGTGAATATTCGCCAAGGTGGAGATTGTTGTATATGCGGCTCATATAGAGTGGAACACAGGCCCTGGATCAAATGGGCCGATGCTGGCGCGGAGCAGAGCGGAGTGAGAGGAGCGGAGCGCATCAAACGGAATGGAGCGGAGCGACGGCATCGGCCTTGTGCGGGTTTAATTCACTGTCTGGTTGTTAAGGACGTTGAATGGGTTGGGGGTGCGGGGGCAACGCCCCCGCGGTACGGTACAGGGGTATTTTCTGTACGGGCCTTAAAGTTTTATATGGGCCTAGATTAAGGTTAGTATAAATAATATGTTGTAACCCTATTTTGCACAACAGAATAAAGAAATCTCCGCTTCGCTCTCGTGGACGTAGGCACATCGCCGAGCCACGTAAAATTCTTATGTTGATTTCCGTTTTTCATCTCTTTAATATTGCGCATAAAATCCAACAAAAAGCAATTCAATAACCCTACCTGTGCCTTCTGTAGAGGAGAAACTCGACAGCAAACTACTGAACTGCAATTCAAGCTCATGTTCAGCAGCATTACACGTAGAGTGGGGTCCAATGCATACATCAAACACTTCCCATCAATCACAAGTGCCAACTTTGGTCCAGAAGCAGAACGAAGATACTGTTTTGCCTCCTCGTAACACCTTTTCAGCTCATCCTTCACAGTGTCTTTCATAAATCGGGCAAGCTCCACTTGATCGCCCTGACAATCAAATTTCAGAAAGCTCTCTGTGTTATATATTTCCCATAGAAAATACTTTTTAAGATATATTACTTACCCTGTCTTCGACTTCTCTAATAGCATCAGTTTCTGAGCTGATTATGAATTGCTTCATGTTGTTATTAATCAACTTGCATGCTGAAACATACAAAAAGCAGATGTAACAGAAAATATTGCACCAGTTATAAAGAATGTTAAAAAATTAAACCATCAGCTCCTTCTAGATACTAACCATAGGCTATATTTATTGCTGTTTCCAGCTTGTCCCCAGTTAGCACCCAAATCTTAATTCCAGCTCGAGAGAGGGTCTCTATACAAGCAGGTACTCCCTCCTGAAGTTTATCTTCTATAGCAGTACATCCAATCAAAACAAGGTCCTTCTCAATGAGCTCCGCAACCTAAATGAGTTTCACATGTTAACCCTCATAGAAGTCTATTACATACATAATACATAAAATAAGAGACGATGTGCATTAATGGAACAACGAAAGGTTCGCTAGAACATAAAATGTAAATTAAAATAAGAACCCTGCGAGAAGAGCTAAAGAGCAGTTTAAGCAGCATCTTCAACATGGTTCTTGCTAAGAAAACAGAAGCTCGTACAATTTAAGTAAACATCTAAATTTCACACTGCAAACTTATCTCAATCAATTAAATGGAGTATAGATGTTATGCCATAACCACACTACCAGAAATGCCAATATGCTCGCCAGTTTTTTAAAATATGCTTTGAGGACATCCCTTGGGATTCGCCTTCCAAAATTGCCTTGGGAGTAATGATAAGGGAGCTGATTTGGATTGCACAGCAAATGCCTTTCACGCTTGGAGCATATGCCTCAGGCCCAAGGGTACACTTACTCCTGTGAAGGGCATAATCCTCCTTAACAGCGAAGGGGCATAATCCTTCCTAACAGCGAATGTGCTCCACATGCTTTTATTTTGACTTCAAAAGACCTATTAATGGATAGATTATCCAGTTTTGACTTCAAAAGGCCTAACTGATGGATAGATTATCCGGTTAAACTACATAACCAAATTCAGAAGTTGGATAGCTAACTGTTGTCACTGTTTTCTGTCAAGAACTGGAAAAAATGGGTGTGATAGCTCATACTTCTCATGCCAACACTTGATAGTTTGAATCTTTACCTTGTCAATAGTTTTCAATGCAATCAGGATTTATGTCCTTTGCACAGATTGAAAAGAAAAAAGTTCAATATAGAAGGTCAAGCTTTCATAATTTTTGGAAACGTGACTGAAATCTCAAGACCTGAGCATATGAACAGAGTTCTGAAGTCGAAACTTTAACAATGAGGAGTTTCGATTACAATTGTAATGTAATACACCTCACTTCAAATCTTGGCCTTTTGAAAAAACGCTTCTTACCAAAACTTTTTCATGCTCAAAGTCATGTCCCACTAAAAATGGTATCTAGTATTTGCTCACATTCCAATTTTTAACCATTTAAATCAGCGTAATACACCTCACTTCAAATCTTGGCCTTTCGAAAAAACGCTTCTTACCAATACTTTTTCAAACTCAAAGTCATGTCCCATTAAAAATGGTATCTAGTATTTGCTCACATTCCAATTTTTAACCATTTAAATCAGCGTAATACACCTCACTTCAAATCTTGGCCTTTCGAAAAAACGCTTCTTACCAATACTTTTTCAAACTCAAAGTCATGTCCCATTAAAAATGGTATCTAGTATTTGCTCACATTCCAATTTTTAACCATTTTCTCCCCTTTTTGAACCCCTCCCCATAAGACTCCAACTCCATCGTGCAGCCATATGCATCAGACTCATAGTTTATCACGAGGAAACTCTAGATCTCCATACTGCTTTAATATCCGCTCGTCCCTTGCTTCAGGGTGATTTAGCCCCCGTTGACCCCCTATTATTTCAAATTATAATTCTCTCTTATTTTCAACCACACAATCTTTCATAAAATAATATTATACGTAAATCGAAAACTTTTCTTTTCTTCAACCACACGTTCTCCAAAAAAACACTATTCCAAAAATTATGAATTGAAATAGTGGGGGTCAAATGGAGGCTTAAGGAAAAACAAGATTGCATTCAATGAAAAGTGAAGGCAAGAAAATAGTCGATATTCAAAGATAATAATTTCCAATAAATGTCGGTCGAAAACATAAGTGCTCGAAGATCAAACAAATGAAAGAGAAAACCACACAAACCTCATCCAACTTCTTCTCCCTATCTCGTAATGACGATTTTGCCTGAATGTATTTCTCGTTCCAATTTTCATATGAATCAGAACTTAAATCTCTATAAGCCAAGCAAAGAGTACGCAATCCAGCAGCTCCAAATTGTTCTAAGTGATCTCTAGTAGTCCTTTTCAAATCATTTTCTGAATCAGCCAACCTTTCATAGATTACCGTATCTGCACCCTGAAAAAAGCATAAAATGGACTTCAAATTTATTTCTTGCCAGAATTTTCAACCCAAGATGTGGGAGCAGCCTAATGAAGTTACCTTGCAGTAAAGGACAAGTCTACCATCTGGATAGCGACACACAACAGACTGACGCTTCCTTGTACTAAACACAAGCAAAAATAATTACAAGTCTGGAATTTGATTATCATGCATGAAAATACAATTTGCATGTATTCCAGAAAATAAAATTACCTGTTGAACTCAAGGACGTTCAGAATCTCATATGGAACATCCTGAACCTTTCCCATTTTCTCAACATGTGACTCACGAACATGTATCGTTGTTGGAGAACGCCTGCAGATAAGGCATTTTAACTCTAGCTTCAACCTATAATACCTTTAAACTATTAATAAGGAATGTTACAAACACATACTTGTAGAAAAAGAAGCCAAAGTTCTTCGCTGCTGTAACCAACGCAGCTTCATCAGGAGATGCAGCTTGATATCTAATTTTTTCAGGAGAATCATCACCTTCAGGAAGTACAGTATGACATATTGCAAGGCACCTGAAGAATTCCTACATGATAACAAAAGATTTTAAAGATCAAATCCTCATCTACCAGGGGCAATCAGTGTTAAAACATGATTGAATGGACAGAAATAGCGTGGCGCAGTATATGATTTGTGAAAAACCTGCATAAGACATGCTAACTAAACACCAAAAGATAATATGGTTTCAAAAGAAAAGAGTTAAATAAATAAACTGGTTTTCAGCTGAATGAAGAAAGATGGAAATGCAATCTAGCACTCAGAGAAAAAAATGACCCCCCATCATTCAACCCATGTGTTTGTTCAACGTTTTAGTGCCCGGTTGTTCTTGGTAATGAAAATTTTATAGAACTAGCATACAATCATATTCGATGTCATAAGGGACAGAATGATTGGCTATTAAGAAATAGCTAATTAAAAGAAACCAAGAATCTTAAGATAGATTGTATTAGAATAAGGAGAGAACAAAAATAAGAATACTCCTGAATGAGTTGAACTTGTAAGATTAGCAGCAATCAAAGATCCAGAAGAAAATGTCAACCTAAGTTTCTAAAATCAGTAAGGTAAACTAATATAATTAAGTCAACCATTCAAGCAGGCGTGCAAGCAGCAACATGTACAGTTGTCACACGAAAATACTGCTGAGAGTGCAGGTCAATTTTTCATTTTTTTTCCTCATTTAAACAATCTACCTTGCAAAAATCAGGATTAGGTTCATTCCTCCAAGCACCCCGCATAAGCCGTGCATCATCAAAATTGAAACCTTTTTCACGTGCTGCATTCGTTTCCTTCTGAACCTATGAAAGTTTGAAGGCACTAGATTGACCTTAAAAATACCTCACGGTAATTTCTCACTCTAACGGGCTGATAAACTTACCTCCATTTTTGCTCCGCTCCTCTGTGCTGTTCCCATCTCTATTTCGCTGACACCAGTGCCATATACCTCCCCTCCAATTGAACATTTAAAAAATTCCATCAAATTTCTGGTCAGTGTTCCAGTTTTATCAGAAAATATGTACTCAACCTGGAAAAAGCACAAGATAAAATTAACTGATCCACATAAGTAGCACCATTTAGTTCATAAACTAATAATTGAATTCCTAGTTCGATGTTTGAGATTAAAGCAGATGATATGCAGAGTAAAATTGCACCAACGCCCCTGAACATAAGACCCTGAAAACCAAGTCGAACTGGGCAAAAATTTTACCTGCCCAAGTTCCTCGTTTAAATTAGATGTCCGTGCCAATGCGGGTGTATTGCTCTCGGCATGGTACATGCACAGGTCATTGTTTATAAATTGAGTTGACTGAATGAATTTAATCATCTGAAATAAACAAGAAAACAAGTCACTGAACCATGACCACACAGTCTCAGTAAAATTGAAATAGAACCAACCACTGTGAGATTTACCTCAACAGAAACATAAAGAGAGATGGGGATGATTGGTGAATAGAGAGTAATCAGGGTAAACATAGTCAAAACAGCAACCTACAAGACAAATAAAATAAAAAACTTAAATATAGAAAAGATAAAAGTAGAAACAATAAACCATAATAATTCTCTTTACCACAAATCTATTGTCAGGATCGAACTGTTTCTCCGAGTTGTCAAACCTCAAGTAGTAGTACTTCCGATTTATGAATATTCCACTGCAAAAATACCAAAAACAAAAAGTAAATAACATCAGACATCAGTAAACTAAAAGAACAAAAACATGTAGATAAATCATGGTAACAGAAATTATATAATCAAACCTTCCTATGGCACCCAACAGACACATGCAGAAGAGAACACTAAACAGAATTAATATAAGCTTGTCAAGTTTCTTCTCCAAGGTACTTCTCTTGGATGGAATTTTCATTGAATTCATCATAACCTGCAATGATATCACAACCATTACTGCATACAGTATACAACAAATATGTTGTAAAGGAGATTAAAGACAGAACAGATACCAACGAGAAAGACAAAACAGACAAACAGACAGACAGATAAACATTAAGACATCGCAAACAAATCTTATACTAACTCATCAATTGGACTCAGGAAAAATCTTTTCATCCAATAGATAAAACATTGCAGTAGTTCTGAAACTTCCTCTGGCAAACAATGTTATTCCACAGATCCTTTAATGGGAAAGTGTCGTACAACTCAACTGCAAAACTTTTTTTATTTTTGAAAAAAGAAAAATCACTACAACTTAACAGCTTTAAGTAACAGAATATACCTTAGTTTCATGCCCTGTGAAAATGACAACTCCAACGATATGCTCAGTGTTCCTGAGAGTGCATCCCTAAGAAATGTAAAGAAAGAACCAATATAAAGTTATGAAATACAATAAAATACAGAACCAATCATAAATCATTACAAAAGATGAAAAAGAAAAGATGAGATTATATACAAATGGTTGCCAGATTGAGCATTTCTTAACAGAAAATATATGTTATTATGGTTAACTAATTCTTATTAGAAAGTTATAAGCTAACAAAAGTGAGCATCGCAAGCAGCTTCAGCAGATAGTCAAGAAACAAAAAATACATCATCAATTACAAAGAGTTGATCCGACGTGAGTTCCTTTGAAAACAAATCCAACTTGCAACCACATTATGCAGAAAAGTGGAATTTGTGGGGGATATAAGACGACATACCCGTAATAGAAGTTGATTTGGACTCAGAGGCAAGGTCTGCTTTTGAATTATCAAGTTGCCAGTAAAGGTGTACAGCGAGTTATTTGGTTGCTCACATTGTACTTCTCCTGAATATTGCACGTGAATTTCTATCAGAAAAGTAAACGCTAAGCAAGAAAAATTGGTTTCATTTAAATCCCCATCATTATTTACAACAAGCGAATCATGATTTCGTTACTAAGCTACTCCTTTTCTAACTAGTGTTTGCCCTCAAAATCCTGCTTCAGCAATTTATTGTGCCCAAGACCCACCAAATGACCGATGTTGTCATATATATTCATATGAACTCGATTGCCATTAATCAAGTCATATATGAATTTTAACTCTACAAGCAAAAACTAATACAGTTTTTGCAGCAAATAGTTAAATAGTATGGGTGATGGATCCTCCCACTTAAAGTTTATGGAACATTAGATTCCTAGGTTCTGTTTCAAAATCCCTCACCACCTTCTGTCCAACTAAAAGAGATTTTAAGCACTAGGTAAATCTTTCCATATTTCACACTTTTCTTTTCATCAGGGTTTAGTTTTACTCTAAACAGTATTCAACAATTTAATAAATATAAAATAATATTTCCAGGATGATACTCTTCTGCAGATGTCAAAATTGATAGATTCAGTAACCAGCAATAATTAATATTTTCTTAGTAAATTCCTTTTATAGTATTCATTAGTAGAAAAAACTTCATTATTACAGTTTTAGTGCTTCTAGTTACAAATTAATTACGTACTAATACATCTCTATTTGTTCATATCATATTACAATAGACCAACATAGATTGGATGCAAGAGGTTAAATCCTTCTTAGTCATTTCACTCTGGTCATTGTTATATTTACTACGAGAACAAAAACAATTAGGTATTTAGAAATTACAATAACCATATTATTTTTCGTTTTTCACTATCTTCTAACTAACTCTATCGAAATCATATCACAATTATCATCAGAAGCCTCTTTAGGTCAATGGAAGTTGCATAACATGACTGATAACCTAAGTCACCCTTCCCTTCAATTTGTGAAGGCCAGCTGCCACTTGCTGGTGTGTGAGTTATCTTACCCATTTTGATATGACCGCATATCCATCTTAGCATCTAATTTTCAATACATTAATCTCGTAATTTTTTGTCCTTTAATAGCATAACACTCAAAGCATCAAGTATAGCTGGCCTAATCATTATTCTGCCGAACACAACTGTCAACCATAATGCTATCTTCCTATCTCATAGAATTGTTGTAACACTTCTTTACTTCATCCAACCTGCTCTAGTGTAGAATATAAAATAAATTTTTGTCGTTTTTCAAAATTACGTTGCATATTTTATTTAATTATCAAAATAAACTAGGTAGAATCTTTCTATTAGTAACTAAAACTTCATGAATGAGGAATATACAATTATTACATTTGATTTTCATACTAAGCCTCTGCTTCGTTTACCTAAAAATTAAATTTTAGTAAATTTTGATAAAAGATAATCAAATGTGTAGTTGAAAAGATTATAAAAGTTGTAGATCAAATAAAATGTTCGGTTAAAATTAATTGTTATCTTTGACTTAGATTCTTATGAGCATTTTTTAGCTAAACCAAATAGGAGCTAAGAATCATATATGGAAGTTGAATAGAAAAAAGTGCAATGTGAGAGCTAATTTAATCTGCAAAGTGCAACAAATACAGATAAGTATTTGGTTTCACACAAGTATATGAAACGTTAGTAACTACTGCCAGCAAAAAATCATAAGCAATATTAATAATTTATTAGAGACTCCAATATAAAGAAATGACAAGTAAATATGTATTACAACTAAGGAACAACCTTTAAATTCAGATATTTTCTCTGGTGTCAAATAATCCCAAGTCTTTTCCAATGCTTTTCTAATCTTCAAGTTTGTTTCACCATCCAGATTTGCAGTCTGTAAACAAACAAAACACAACAGTGGAGTGATATGCAGAAGAAAATTGGAAGGGAAAATACAAAGGCAGAAGTTCCCCAGCTTGTTTCCTGTTCTCCAAACAAATTTGAGAGAGAATAAACTGTTCAGAAATAAAAGAGTGAAAACCTCTATGTAGCAAACACCATCCATATTTGTGCTAGCAAGGAATAGTAGATCAGCCGGAAAGAATCCATCCTGCTTTACCTGCAACCAATACAACAGTAGACTGTCTAAATTTTGGGAAAAGATCATCCAAAATGGCAGCTCAGATTACTTCTCAACCTTATTCAGGCTGCACATGCAGCGCATGTAGTATACATCACAGCCTTGATTTAACAACATTTTCGGAGCTGAAAAATTAACCCCCTGTTTGACAACCATTCGTTCAAAACTTTTTTCTCATACTCTTTTTCAACCATACATTCTCACAATAAAATATTCTTCATGTAAACCCAAAACGTTTTCCTACTTTTTAATTACACATTATCCAAAATTTCACTATTCAAAAACTTATTCATCCCAAAAAATGGCTGTCATACAGGGGCTAAATTCTAAACCACGGCTCTGAAGTCTTGACATCGATACCCAAGCCAGCCCCATATCCCAGGTCCTTCATCAGCTATATGTTGGAATGTCGGTGTCATGATTAGCAGGAATAGAAAAATATATTCAATTCAAAGGTGTGATTGATCTGCACCTTTTTAAATAAACTTAGACTAGGTTTTGTTAATAGCTACGGTTACGAGTACATAGTCAACAACTCTCTAGTCTCCTACATAAACTATAACTGCTTGCATCAATTTAGAAGGTGTTAGAAGAAGCAATAACAAGAAAAGGTCTGCCCTTAATTAAGCTCCAACACATTTCTTCTAATGCTTGTTTAATCCCATGATAAACTATTAGGCAAAGTTTGACTTATAGAAATGCAAATGAACCAAGACACTTAAACGACACTTGCAATAGACAGTTGAAAGATCGTAGTCATACACCACCAAGGGACAAAAAAATGTAGCAAGGCAGCAGCTGAAAACTCACACCAAGATATTAGAGGGGAAGAAATGAAACTATTTAGTTGAAATTTAGCCTAAACTTATTGTATTATTCATTTAATTCAAGGGTTATTTATACAAGATCCAAATCCAATCCTATCGATAAAAGAAAAATACATTATCTTATTTGGAATACAAAACTTAATACAATTCTATTCCATATCAATTCCCAACTAAATAAGAAATAACATGCATGGAGTACAAGTTATAGATCACCATTTCCTATTCTAACTCCTCCCTCAAGTTGCTGCATGTATATTACAAATGTTGAAAAATGACTCAAGAATGCCCACCAGCATGCACAATAGAAGCGCCCACACAAATAGCATACACAAAATAGTGAAATCTTCAAACATGAGGGAGGCTTTACACACTCATCCACAAACAGCCGACAAGAAAGCTAAAACCTTATATCCAGCAACAGAAGCTTCGTGTGCACGGCAAAGACGGTGGCCAAAGCTTGAATTTTCAAACCAGAGAGTCAACAACCAAGAGAAGATGTGTCCCCAACAGTAGATGTAGTCTTCATACAGCAATAGAAAGTTCAGAAGTCTTATCTATCAAACCTATAGGGAGTACTATATGGCTAGATCGACAAATACGAAGGGTCTTGCAGCACTAAAAAAGTCTCCAAAGGGTTTCTGGCAACAAGAATAGTAGAAGGGTAGCACAAAATCATAGGACATACCAGAGTGGGCTGGGTCAACCAAGAGAAATGGTCGAGTAGCATTGAGAATTGTTGTCGAAGGGTAACAAATTAAGGAAAAACTAAAAAAATTATAAAGCATCAGCCACCACAATAAAAGATCTCGGAACCACCAAAAATTGGAGGTAGTAGAAGACCTTGCAATATGTGTAGCAAGAAATCTCCCGCACAACAATCTAAAATTTGAAACTTCAAGCATACACAAAAACAACCCACTCAAAATATCCCGCAAACAATTTGACCAAAATAGCAAACACGCATAACTAAGATGACAGAGGGACAGGTTGCTTTGCTAAAAAAGCAGGTGTGATCTAAAAGTTTAGTTGCCATGTTGCCACAAACAAAAACTTCGTGTTTGTTTGGGTTTCATTATAAAGGAATAATAACGAAGAAAAGTAATAAATCCCACAAAAATGTGGATAACAAGTGTGTAATAGTTGTAAATGTGTGCTTAAGATTATTGTTTAAGTTTGACATCAATTATAAGAAAATTATAGTGAAACCCTAACAAGCTCTTCATAACTAACTTACTCCAATCTGAAAGTTGAAGACTGAATTTAACATTTCAAAAATTTTAAGGACTAATATACAAGATTTTGAAACCTCATAGACCAACTTGCAAAATCAACTTCAAGGACAGGCACAAAAAAGATTCAATATCTTTCTTTTTCTGGCGAACGCACAGAGAATGGTTGCCTCGTCATTGTGCACACAATAGAGAGTAATGTCAGAATAGGTTACCTGTCCTTCACGAATGTGCACCACAGAGTGGTGACCAAAGGGAGTTGCAACTGTTCAAGATTCTCTCAACATAAAATCTTGCCTAGCTTTCGCGAGCAGACGGAATCAAGATCAAATGATCGTGCTGCTGTCCAGACATTACAGGACTGATTTTGGTAGAGCTCGTCGGAATGGTACGTCGACCAGGAAGGTAGTGCTCTGACAAGGTCAGAGCTTGAAATTGAATTTTAGGATTTGCAATTTTAGGGCTAGATTTGAAACCCTAAATTTCAAAGCCCAAGAAACCAAAATATAACTTGGCCGGACAAGTGGCACAAGGCCTCTTGCCAGAGAATGAAAAAAAGCGATTTTAAGTTTAACTCAAGTCGATTCAAACTTGCTCTCATACCAAGTTGAGACTTAGGCTGAACTTGTATTATTCATCCAGTTCAAATGTTATTTACACAAGATCCAAACCTAATCCTATATATAAAAGGAAAAGGAAAAAGTATTATCCTATTTGGAAAAGAAAACTTATACAATTCCATTCCATATCAGTTCTTAACTAAAGAAAATAAGATGGACGGAATACAAGTTAAAATCAATTCCTAGATAAGGAATATAAGATGTATGGAATACAAGTTAAATAGATCTCCTGTTCTAACATATTTAAAACATGCAAAATTAGTAGTTCCACCTCGAAACAGGTGAAGAAAAGCGACGTGGCAACAGACACAGACGACTTACTCTGATAATGTCTCCAACCTGCAGCTTCTTCCAGGGAATACATACCCACTTCTGATCTTGAAACACGTCTACAATAGAATTATTGATCGCCATGTCATTTTGAAAACGCTTCTGCCATGAAGAAGAATATAGAAACAAAAAGTGTAAGCAACCTGCATCACAGAAAACTTGGAGACCTCAAGTTAACGAAGATATACTTCGATATCGTAATTCAAACAAAATGACAACAGCTGAAACCTAAGAGTTTACAGTGCGAGAGAGAGAGAGATGTGATCTAGCTTGAAACTTACCCAGTCTTCCCATGCTTCCTTAACGAGAGATACAAGAAGCACCAGGGACAGAGGAAGCACATTTGTTATTGGACTTACAGGACTGCATGAAAACAGAGCTATCTTAAGTACAAAAGTTCTCAGAAAAGGAAAAATGGATGGAGAAATATCAAACCCAGTTAACTAACTCCAAAGTTACACACTCCAGATTTCTTGAAGATCAGCAGCTAGTTTCTAAATTAGTCAATAAACAAGCAAACACGTGGTAGAACAATAGTTGGCAAAATAAGGTCAGCAAACAAATAGAATCAGTACAACAGAGTGGTGGTATTAACCCAAAAGCAGAACACAAGCTATCCTTTTCAATTATCAACAAGAATCAAACTCAAGCTACCAATTAAGCAATAACTCTTCAGATAATACCAGAAGTATTAATTTATCTGTGTCTACAAATGGGAGAACTTCATAATCGGACAATCGCCATGAAAGCAGAAACCACGTTGAACATGAAGGAAACACTAAATCCATAATATCTCAACCAAACTTAAAGCGACAGCAAATTTCAGATCAACCCATTTCTTTTATACAAAATCAATGGCAAAAATCCCCACATCTGCCTATAGAACGGAATCATTTATATCAGCTCTAAATCATTCCCCATCCCCACTTTTCTTGTCCTAATACATAAAAAATTACCATACGACTCTATTGTACCATTGCTGTAATTACCCTATCACTTTCTGGAACGTATTTTTCCATTCATAAACTCATAAGTTCATAAATTCAAAAAGACAACTGTCAAGAATTTAATATTATCCCAACTATCTTTTCTTTCTCCTTGCTAAATTATATTTTAAGTAGCATACCTCACTGGAGTGCATGACAAGATTGAGATCATAAGAAAGTAGAGATTAGCCACACGCCTGAACTGTCAACATATATACAAAAAATTGAGGATTATCAGGTAAATCAAAAAGAAATACAAAAATGAAAGGAGCTAAATGAGCAGACAAGAATAAATCACACTGTTAACATTTCTTATTCTAACTACACTAGTCATCAAGTGGAGTATGTAAGCACTCTTAACTCGAAGCCTATGTTTCGCAAATGTTGAAAAACTGTCTATAAAAAGTCACACCACTTTTATTCACACTTTTTTTGGGATCCACCGGTATTACCCGCTTATCCACCACTCATTTCTATTAATTTATAATTTGAACTGTTTTTAAACACTCCTAAACAAGCTTTGAATAGCCTACAAGGACCTAGTGACTTCCAATTGTTTAAAATTATGTTAAAAACTTAATTTTAAACATCATAAAAAATGTACTTAAATCAAATTTATCTAACTTCTACCAATCGTAAAGGATGTGAAAGCTTTAAGAAGTTGAATTCTTTTTCTCTTCTCTTCCACAAATAGAAACACACATAATTCTTTATTCTTTATTTTTCCAAATACATTCAGTTAAAATTTCAAATAAACCTAGTCCCAAGTTTCTAATACTAAGAAAAATAATTATTTTTCCTACATTTCCTTTGATGGGTCAAACAAAATTCTTAATTTGTTAAGGACTTCCAGACACGAACATATTTTTGGGGGTCCATGTCCAAAATTAGTTTCCAAAGAACAGGATTTCCAGCAGGCATCCCTGTAATTCATTACAGCTAAACGATACTTAATGTTGAATTCATCACTAAGCATATAGTACCAAGCATAATTTTACCACGAGTTAAAGTTCATCAGAAAATCATTCACAATTTAATGACAGATAGACAAAAACTTACCTGTTCAAATAACCCCTTTGGTAAAAATGTAAACACGTCGTACTTTGTTGTTGACACGGAATTGCCCTGAAAAAATTATTAGGAGATTGATCAAAACCCAGTTTTGCTCGCTTGAATTAACATTTTTTTTGCCACAAAATTAGCAAAAAAGACAAATTCACATGGTTCAGCTCTTAATGAAAAGTATTCTCAAAACGACAGAGTAAAGTAATGGCATCTCTGTGGCAGAACATTTGGTCAAAGAAATTGTTTAGGAGAATATATAACACCATCATCTTTCTTTAAATGAAAATGGAAAATCTTATTGAGATTTGTTTAGAACACGTCTCTTGTTCAGTCCTGTCAACTAAGTGTATAACTCACTCTCATGCTCAAACATTGACATTCTCATTTACAAATCATTCTAACAAAAAACAACATCCACTGTGGCATCTCAGTTATATTATCCCAGCATCTACTAATTTTTTTTAGATTTCTTCACATTTCTATTATCTTCTTATAAATTCTTTTAAACTTCATGCTACAGAAATTAAATCCCCACTTTCCGTGTTGTTTTTCATGTTAGCCGTCATAATATTTTGAGTTTTATCTTTTATTTTCTTCTCCGTTCTAATAATATCTTATGTGGCCAATGAGAAATCACTACTTGATTCATGTAAATCATGATATTATTTCTTCAATCTCATCTATCTCCCATGAAGGAGAAAACTGTATTATTTAATACTTAGTAATTCATACATAGCTATAAACAACTCCTCTGTAATCCTCAGAGCCTTCTTCTCTATTATTCTGTTCATGCCCACTGGGTTTCTAGAAAGGTTCAACTCCAATTTTAGTGTAATAAGGTTTATTTGCTTTATTATACTGTTTGTTTAGTCATTGTTTTTCTAGATAGATGCCACATTATTCTATCAAGTCGTCTCCAAAAATATTCTAATCTGAATACATGAGATCTTCAACATCTTGGTGCATAAGAAGAAAAAGAGGTGTAACAAGTAAAAACATTCTTTATTTTTCTTTAAAATTTAACAGTTGCAAGCTTTAGTATAACATTTAGAAATGAAAACCTTAAATAACAATTAACAATTGCATGCATGAACCACATTTCATGACACGCAGCAACCATCAAGTGTCCTTCGTCAGTATAGATTTACTGATGGATACTGGAAACAACATTGCTCGAATCCCAAAACTAATTCATATTTATTCTAATAATCAAAATTCCCGTAAATTCTACATGGCCAACTCGACCCTTCTCCTGAGCCTAACATTAAAATCGAAGTTCTGAAATGTACATAGATTTGACAAGAATATGAAATGCAAGCATCTTAGTCTTGGACTAATAAAATCTCTTTCAGAAGTTAAAAATAAAACCGTAACGTAACAAAACAAAACCGTTAACAGGATGAATACTAAAATTATCATCTTATCATCAGAAAACAAACAAAACCCTTAGATAAACCTCACGAGAAAACATCTTCAAACCCCACCCCAAAATAATTTAAATTGCATAACACCATGCCCCGTTCATTGCATCATCCAACACCAGACCAAACTCAAAACAAAAAAGACTCGTAAGCAAACAAAGTTGCAACATAATAAATGAAAACCAAGTAAATTAATGACCTTGAATTTGGTGAGGGCGTTAGCTTCACGATCATTACAAAACACGGTTCTATGACCCGGTGCCTGTGGCTGGACCTTCCCTAGACGGACCGTTCGAGAAGACGGGATGCGGTCCGCCGTCGGCGACCCGCCGCCGCCTACTCCTCCACCACCACCCCCTAATCTAGATCCCCTCCATCCTGACATCTCCACTCCTTACACTTCCTTCGATCGCAACGGATCGGAACACCAAAAAAACTCCACGCTTTTCAGATATTTCAAAGAAAATAATTTTAATCCAGCCGAATCTTCAATACGAAGAAATTAAAAAATATATATATGTTATTGGCTTCGTAATTTGGTGGTTAAGTGAATGAAGGGGGTATCTTTTTCAATTCCTCGTTTCCATACGTTCACTTTAATCCGCGTGAAATATTTACTCTGTAGTATTTTCCCCACGCGTGGTTTGGAGCGTGGAGAGATATGGCCGTCGAGTTGAAACGGGTTT